ACAGAAGGAAATTGACACACAATGGCATGACCTCGTACCTAGCTAGGATTAACATTATCAGAAGATTACGATTTCTTAGCAGCTGTGCGGTGGTGTTGAAGCCAGGACTGGAGCCGCAAATTGTTATTTAAATTAGACTTCAAGCCACTGATCAGGCATGATCTCTTCCTGTCAGACTCTAAGGAATGATTAACATGATATTCACACACCTTCATATGTCCAAATCAGAGATGAAACATCTAATTAATCATCTGACTGACAGGAAGTGAATTGGCACCTAATTCGAAGTCAGATTTTTTTCAGAAACTACCACAGCCATTTCATTCAGCCTCCCATAAGAGAATGTTTTTCTTTTTCACATTATGAACTCTTTGGGTTATTTATGATCATGATTAAACTTGCGGCATCTAAAAATAAATGACAGATTCACAGTTGATAAATAACAGTTGGTTACAGCTCTAACCAAAATCGTATTTTGAAGGTGTAATGTAATATTTATTATCTACAGCTCTAAGTTATCTCTCAGTGAACAACCTGACCCTTAGCGCCAATATCTTGATAGTGTGGCATGAAAAGCATATATTTATATCGTTCTTTGCCCCTTTAGAGATCTTCTAGCTGTGAAGCTTTGAAATTCAACATTTGTTTTAGATAACATTCTGACTAATTTAAAATTATTATTCTAGAAATTGAATTGCGCAGTCTACACTACAGGCTACATTCACAAAGACGTTCCTACAGAACATCACACACCACCACGGATACATCAGGGCAATTTGGAGTTCAGTATCCTGTCCAAGAATATATTGACATTCAGACTGGAATTCAAGCCGTGACTCAAACCCCTGACCTTCCACTAGAGGATGACTCACTCTGTGCCTGGAATAACAGTTGTTTACACAGAATTAAACGGTGTCTTGAGACCTTTGTTGTGTTTCTTGGGCTATTAATGAACTTTTTAAAAATGTATGTATGCATATATGTATTTATTTATTGGTGTGTATTTGTCATCATCTTGCGGCCGCTGAAACCAAGCAGTAACCTATGGACCTGAAAAATGAAGCCAGTACACAAGGACCAAAAAGGGCATTTTCTTCTAATGGCCACTTGAGGCTGACTCCAAAATTGAGTCGATAGCCATAGACTTCAGAGCAGGGTTTTAATAGTTTTGCAATTTTCATTAGTTTTTATTTTTATTTAGTTTTGACTTCAGATTTTCAATATTATATCAGTTTTAATTAGTTTTTACCAATTGTTTGCTAGTTTAATTTAGTTTTTATTTTTTTGAAAATCCTTAGTTTCAGTTTAGTTTTGATTAGTTTCAGTTATAGTTTTAATTGTGTTTGCAATAATTAAGTGTAACAAAATCCCAGTTTCATCATATCAGTCATGCTCTTCTGGGCCCTATTTCAGGAAGCCGGTTTAGAAAACTCAGAGTGAAAAACAATACTTGGGGTTGAGTAACCCCGAACTGTCCAACTCGGAATATTCGGTTTCAGAAAGGCTGATAACAATTAGTTCAATCAACGCGGAGTTGCTTTAACCCCAAATTAAGCGCGCGCACGAGGATACATAA